AATAAACAAATAGAATTGACAGGATTAATTAAGTACGTGTATTTATCCAGTAATACATTTTTAAATATGAAGTTTTCTTTCTTTAGTAGAATAATCTGTTAAGGCAAGACTCTCGTCTAAATAATATTTGTAATTCTTAAATAAAACATAACGCTTCTAAATTACAGAGAAACAATAGTTGTTTACTCAAAAAATCATACTGAATGAATAAATTCACTATGTGTTCAACATGCAAATCAAAATCACTGCATAATATCACGCGGGATATATGGGAGATAGGAGTTGAAGAAGATTTGATTTTGTTGGCCCAAGATAGGGACTGGTGGAAGGCTTTTGTTAGCTCGGTGACAAACCTTCGGGTTCCCTAAGCCATCTAGTTAGTTAATTAGTTCATCATGTAAGTTATTATGGATTGTTAAAGAAAGTAGTACATCCACATGCAATTACCACGATGCCTCAAAGTAATAAATAACATTAGTCTGTGAATCTTCGGGTAATAATTTAGCTTAAAATTGTATCTGCACTGATCATGTTGGGTTTGTTGCATTCATCCTGTTGTATAATCGTAGACGTAGTTAATAACTCATTCGAAAATATAGCAATGATCAGATCCTAAGAAACAACGGTAACAAATCAAAATTTCGTTCACGAGGGAATAACAAATAGGATGAACTCGGAGAATCCTTACTAATCTCCGAAATATAATTCGTTGTCTTCGAGTATCCTGTTGGAAAACGTATGGGCTGTATAAAACGTGTTGTGTCATGTCAAGGGAGGAACGCAGATGTGTGAGAACATGATGCATATGAGATTATTAAGCTCTAAGAAGAATCAAGTGACAGGAGGGCGAATAAGATTCTAAAACGCAGAGCGTCGATATTTATATTCTTTGCCAAATATTGTTGGGTGAAGAACACCTTATGGCCACGTCTCCCCGTCGGTCATCTTTTTCCCAGAAGGTAGAAAACCAGCATTGCTTCCTCATCGAAGGAAAGGGAATTCAGAGGACTAATCTCCAGGGACCTCGCCCCATCTAGGTGCGGTCGCCGTAGAATTTCCTTCCTATGGCTTGTCTTACATTGCGTCTATGACCAAACGGCTTGTTCACCGTGGATCAAACCCTCAGGCCTTGTCTTCCATGGGTTTGAAAACCCTTGGATTCTACCATCTCGAGTTATATTATCGAGACATCTCGATTACCGAGACTGTTTCAGAGGGGTTTTACCACCGACGGAGCCTGGTCACTTCCAGGATGTACGACCACCGAGACCGCCTCCTGGTAACCCCCGACTCTTAATCCTACTTTCAAAGTTAATTTCTTTGTCCTTTTAGAGCGCCTGCTTATTATCCAGTATCCATGCTTCCTAGAGCAGTATCTCCTGCGCATTCTTCTCCAAGGACTTAGACACCAAAGGTTTAGGCTTGTTCCGGTGCTTCACACCATGGGAATCCCCCAAGGATTACTTCCACCAAGGCTCTTACCACCTGGGTTCTTAACGACGTCCAGATCATTCCGTATGTTCCCCTGACCTTGCTGTTCTAGGGGCTCTGCTCCCCCGGTCTCCTCTATTGTAGCCAGTCCCCTCTGGAGGGGCTTCCGCCGTGGGGCAACCAACCACAGGCTACATAAGATCTGGGGCCCCCACGTCCGTGAGAAAGCACTGGGATCCCCCCCCCCCAAAGCATTGTTGCATGGAAACAAACATTAGACCACCGTAGCTTCAAGAACCTGTCACTTCCCCAACAGTTTTCTCGTTGAAAGCTTCTTGTTGAGCGACAGTGACATGGGAAGGCATTAGTACAATAATTGCCCAATTTGAAGCAATGAGCTAGAACCGCAGTGGGAAAATGATCTGAGACGAAATAGCACCTCGAGATCGTATTTCTGTAAGAACGACCAAAGACAGTGAAATCGGTTCATGTTTGTGCAACAATGACCTGCGTGATGTGGTGTGGAGAACACCTCTGGAATATCAATGTTCTCCAAAGATTTGGCATTTTCAGTCTCGTTGTTATAATTATATTATTAAAGCAATGTAGCAATGTAGAAAATGAGTTCTGAACATCTGTAGGTTAAACCTAAAGCGTAGTTTGGAAATAATATTGACATGTATTTTAAACAATTTGTTTTGGATTACGTGGAATGAATTAATGCATTTCTGGACAGGATCCAGAAGCAACATGCACGTTTCAGAAGGAGAGGGTAATATTTATTGGCTACCTAAAATTTTCCCAGATTTTCAAGGACATTGATCCATCGAGTTACCTAACTGGGACAAATTCTGCAGATGTTTATTTGATAAAGCGCACGTTTAGTATGGGGGATACTTTCACTTAATATGTTGCTATTCTCCATGTTAGGTGGTCCCTGTCACCACGGCATAGAGCGCCCTAGGTAGTAGACAGAGGAACAGCATCCAATTATGGAGGTTAGCTGCGAATATATTGAATAAGCAGTCTCGGACAGCCGACAAGGGGTGGTCCTTTAGCTTGGGGGTTGGGCGTGAGGCTAACAACCTTTCACCTTAAAATCTTTTGTTTCGAAAAATTACACCAAGCCTCTGAACGGCACTATTTATGGGAGATAGGAGTTGAAGGCGATTGGATTTTGCTTGTCGAGGACAGGGACCGGTGGAGGGCTTTGGTCAATTCGATGATGAACCTTCGGGTTTCCTAAGCCATCTAGTTAATTAGTTGGTTATGTTGTTATTTTAATTTTCCAGCCGCGTGAATGTGTGGAAATCATCACCTCTTGAGTAGTTAGTGTACGCAGAATTATTTAACTTTCCAATCCTTATAAATATTAGACTGTGTATATTATTTCCACGGTTACTTTTTACACATGCACTGATTCCAACTGTTTAAAAGTGTTCGTTTAGTTACCGGACTAAATGTTTCGACCATACATGGCCATCCTCAGGTACACGTGTAGCACAGAAACCATTGCACCTGTCCATGCAAAGTATTTATTTTACTTTTCTCCTTGTAATAGGGTCCACGGAAATACTAATTATTTATTTCAGTGTACATTAATCATAGAGTCTCTTACTCAAGTTGATTCATATTCTCACTTAGATGCTTTCATCCTTCGTTTATCAGAAAACGAGTAAGCGAAGCCTTGGAAACATCTAATAAATGTGGCGCCACCAGATATAATTCGCCGCCATGATTTTTCTCTTTATACACACTCTTTTTATGTTTCGCAACTCACTCTTTTGTCCCTTTATACCTCTACAGCATGTTACACGGACAGTAGAGTATTTGCCATGTTAAGCAGGTCTACTTACTGAGAGAATGAATGTCCTTCACACTGCAGAAATACACATTCATTTTGAGTGTTACGAAGTCATTTGGATGTTGCAATGCGAAAAGGTGTGGTAATTTTAAAGCCAGTATAATGTCGTCCCTGTACTTAATTAAACACAAAGGTATAAGGAGCCATAGACGAATGGATTTTAACTCCTTACGTTTATGACATCAGCTGTGAATACAAGCTAGTGGTAAACATCTCGCCTCGGCCGCTTTGGACTTCCGGGTACCCACTGGATGAGCCCCACATCCAGCCTGAACTTAAGTGCCAAAGGGAGAAATCCGTGTAGCTGTCAGGAACAGATGCCCGATCTTTTGCCCAGTAGATTTTGTAACCTGAAATATGCCTGTTATTAAACGTTGTATTTACGTCGACAAATGTAATGCTGAAATTTGCTTTGAATCATAGTTTATGCATTAATGTGACCTAATGCTTTGAAACTCAACTACGGATTTAACTCTAACAACGAGACATACTTTAGGGTCATCGAAATTTGTATGGATATCTAAATGAACGTCCACAAAAACAGCCTAAATACTGTAATAAGTAGCAAAAATCAGACGCCAAGTTTCTCTTAGTGCCTTGTTCACTGAAAATGCTCCCAATAGTTGTTAAATGTAGTCAATCGATCGTGTAGTAATAATTTGTATTATTGGGCTATTCATAGAATAAACTTTTTAGCAGATGGATGTGAAATGAATGTCCTTAAATGAAGTGCTGCCAACTGTGACATAATGTAACTTTTCACAAAGTAAAATCTCCAAAAGACCAATTTATTTCTACATATCAAGAAACTGTTCAGACATAATTTTACATCATACCCACAAATGATTTAAATGTATCAAGAAGCCTCGCCTAAAAATCAAAGTATAAATTTGCTCTACGATTAACGTAAAAATGGCAAATCGCCGTATAAAACAGTATTGTAAGACATTATAAACATGTCTATAACTTCATTCTGCAAGCCTAGGAATCGTAGGCCATTATCCAGTCATTTTCCATGTAGCCTATAATCAACTTGTTGTATCTCTTTCGATGCTACGTGATTACAATCGTTGATAGAATGTCATAAAATTTCTGAATTAACACACGAAGAAAATTGGAAAGGTGCATTTGTACATAGAAATTCCTAAGATGATCTTCATGACACATTAAAAGCAGTGACGCTAGCAGGTTGCTTCAATGATAACCACCGCCGAAGACACTGAGAACATAGACCACTTTTGCTTGAAAGTAAAAACACAAACCAAAACACCAATAATAATAGTATGGAGGTTAATTGTTGCAATAGTGTAATGCGAGGTAATTGCTGTGAGCCAACAATTATCTGTCGTTTTAACAATGTGTCCAAAAATGACCTCGTTTTTATTATATCATCAATTTTTCGAACAATGACCTCGGTTCCCATTGTTACAAAGATATGGTCCAATTATGATCTCGTGCTTAGTTCCAAGGTAAGAAACGGGTCGAAGGGACATGGACGCTCACGCTAGAGCGTAGAGAAAATCTTAAGTTAAAGCAGTTGTTACCTGCAACATGCTGTGTTTGGTTGCCACTAATTTCTCATCCTTTCTCGCCCAAGTTCTTTCTCTGACGGAATTGACTATCCTCAGCGAGGTCAATATAAACCTCGAATCGTTGTAAAAAAGAAGGCAGAGGGACACACAGAAGTAAATGGATAAACTCATAGTGCACTAAACTCCACTCATGAAGTTAGATCTGTTTTATTGTTATAATGAGTATTTTATGTCAGTAACCATTTTACAGCATTATCGAATAATGTGTGTCAAATGAATACAAGCGAAGAGAAAATGGATTTAGGGGCTTTCCTGCTCTAAGACTAGGCGCTTCTGTGACGGACGCTGCAAGGTGGGACTTCGTGTTCCGCCACGTCATTTTTAAATGAAGTCCTTTCTTCGTACATTCTGTGCAATGTCTTAAATGGATCAGATCCGATTGTATGTTTCCTGACTGCTTCATACAAAATTAGTAGTTAATGTAACCGTGATTTATGTATTCTGCAATAAACGTCATTTAATTTTGACCTAAATTGAACCCACTGAAAGCGAGAAATATCGAAAATCGAATATTGACCGTACTCGTATAATTCAGATTTTTAACAACTCAGGTTCTATAACAAAACATGTACTGAAAACTTGATTGGTAAACCGCCACTAGCGTGTACTTGACAAAACCTAAGGAAACTTGACTCAGCACCGATATTTAATTTTAGAAACCCACTCTTGGGTCTGAGCGTATACAAATAGAAGGAGAATAATATTCTGATGTTCGGTACTTGTCAGTAAACTTAGGACAGGGAAGATTTTAAAGAAGAACGTATGTTTTCCATCACATAGTGAGAAATATACACCCCACAGTCTAATGTCCAAAGTGTAGTTTCTATGGCTTGTAGACAGAAATTATATTTTGCTTTTTTGAACAGAAATTTTATGTTGACTCTGAACTATGATAATTTTCATACCGAGCAAGTTTAACACACACATCTTTAGTTATAGTTGGGAGATGATTAAGTTTATTTGCGGGTCTTCTCTTCTTCTGGATGAGCCTTGTTGTACTCAATGGAGCGGGCAATTGCCTCAGGAATCTGCAGGAGATGCGCCCCCTGCGGTTGGAAGCCATTTTCGTCTGCTGTGTAGGTCACAGAGTACGTAACGCCGTCTGGTGCCACGTAGGAGAAGCTTCCCGTCACCACTTCGCCGTCATCGTCTGGCCCGAAGTTCTTCAGTTGGCCAGACTGTTCCGCCTTCGTGCCGTCACCAGTTTCAAAGCTGCGAAAGCGAAAATAAAGCCGTCAGCTGTGAAACGTGAGATCATGACGAACAGCTGATTTCAGCACGTGATATGTGTGTTGCTGTTCAAGAAGTTGTCTTCACAATGCATGGCGTTTTTTTAAAAAATATGTTCTTACATGCATGAAAGCTGAGAAAATGTTGAATAACCAGTCGCGGTCATACGGCCAGGAATGAACCTTCATTTATGGTGTTGTGTGTATGATTAACACCAAAATAAGCGGAAAGTTTAACATCGTCAATATTTGCAATAACCAAGTAACAAGAAGACAGTGACCTACAAACTTAGATACTTGACGATTATATGAACTAATCTCGTGGGAGCTCAAGTGAATGGGTACGAATCTCGCAACCGAGTATCGATTCGACTCGATAAGATCCATAAATTGCTCTATACAGTTCCCCTTCCAGAAAGATCTCGCTAAACAGCTTCATGATCCTTTCTTTGGAGTTAAGTAGATGGGGTGTGACACTGATAATCATAACAATTTATCACCTACCTACCTACGTTGTACAGATAAGTTTTATTTTCGAACTCGATCACAATAACCGCCTTTAAGTGCATGTAAAACTCATCCCTTTGGTACAAATTAAAAAAATATACATTTTCGTTCTATTTTAAGTATTGCGCCTAGTGTAAGAAAAACATTTCTGCCAACTGTTGGGATAATTTTTCGTGTACGCAGAAAAAATCTTTCCAAGTAAGAGTAGAATTAGACTTGTATATCCCTACTTGTACTACGGAGCTGTCTTTACTTTGTTCACTGGGCCAAAAACAACAGAAAATTCTATTGAATTTCGAGATAATAAAAATTAAAAAGAAAGACACTTGTATATTTGAAGGCTTTGACATTGAATTATTCTCGGCGTTCTGGTCACTTTAGTACCCTGAGGACGAGGACGAAGATGATTCTCGAAACACTGGTGTTTCCTCCATTAAACCACCTTACACGGCCGGTAGCCAGAGAAGAATTCATTGTACTAAGTCGCCGTGAAAGCTTCAGATTACGGACAAGTTATTTAACTTTATGAGGGACTTCCCACGTACAAAGAAATTATCGGACATCAGTGTAGTCTGAACCTTGACAAAGTTAAATATCTGATTAGCCCGGTTAATAATATAATAACTGGAAAATATAAAATTTTACTTTATTAATTCAATGGTACTCCATGCACTGGAACAAATAGAACCAAAAATTTAAAATACATCGTTAGCCAGCTCCAGCCATCCAGAAGTTGTTAGCCAGATATTTGAGGTTTGCGCTCACTATATGTTTCCGTGGCTATAGTTAATAATGGTTTAAGGGTCGGAGAAACTATGGCGTGCCAAGCTCTCGCGTAAGTCAAACGAGACAGTAACAATGCCTGTTGGCGTTTGACGTAAAGAGCTCCATCACATTTCTTGAGATGTTAATTTTTCTACCTTTGTATTACCCGCGTGACGACCTGTTATTGTGCATCATGGAAGATGAACTATGATGTCTACACTCATTTAAAAAATGTTTCCGCCACATAATTTGGCTGTATCAGCTTTAAAAAGTCACACTTGGCAAAGACATTTTGTACCTGAATCATAATTGCGCAGTTTAAGACATCGAATAAGACAAAGGGAGACGAATGACCCAGTAAAATGATCTCAACTGAGACGGAAGGTAAGAAGAAGTAGGATGAGGAACGGTAGGAGATAAGAAGAGGTTGGAGAATGAGAAGAAAGCAAACATATGATGAAGATGAGAATCAGGAAAAGGTGCAGGATACAGATGCATCATCAGGGCGAATGATGGAGGCAGTATGACCTCTGAAACGTCGGTAAATATCTACCAGACTACACAGCGAAACAACCCAGAAGACAGAAATATTCATACTCTGGTGACGGTGGCAGTATGACCTCTGAAACGTCGGTAAATATCTACCAGACTACACGGCGCAGGAACCCAGAAGACGGCGATCACACTGCATGTTGGCAGTTGTCTCGATGGCCGGTAGTTGACTGTTTTCTTAAGATGTATTACTTTATCGCTGTGTTTGGCAGTGAAAACATTTATTTCATGAAAAGTTTAAGGAGGGATACTTTCATACATGTAAAATATAACTTTACTTTATAATGGACGTAACGAGAATCACTTGATGGAAGTCTGAACGCAAAGCGATGTTGATCGATTGCAATCTGTACAAGATAAGTGACAGTGGTTTGGTTTGTATTTTATTTAGCTTAGAATGTTTGTGCAGAATATCAGAATGTGCATACATTACACTAATATGATATTTTTGTTCAATATTCTTCTTAATACTCCGAAGCAAGAAGCTGGTTTACATAATTCTTAAAAATTCATTTTCCGACCCAAAGACAAACAATGGGTTTTTCTATCACAAAGATTGTTTGGTTCATGATGTTTAAGTAAATAATCGCTATTTTTTCTTAAAATTATATAAAACCCATATGTACACTTTGTGCGCAAAATACAGAGTTGTTGAACATTAAATCGGGTGGCATGTTTTGTTAACCACTGCTCCTTAGTTTTACCATTGTCTATGACATGGTTTCTTCTGAAGTACCTTAATTAATATTTTGTCTGCCACAACAGTAATAATATTGGTCTCCTGGTTGTAACTCCGTGTGGTTTGTAGACAGATACCAATGTTTCTGAAGGACATACTGTCTCCATCTTCAGGGCTGAATAAAACTGTGTGTTTCTGCGAAACGTTGATATCAATCTACAAGTCCACCCGCTGTTACAAACCAACCGCTATTGTAGTAAGAACATGAAATCTCAAAGCTACTTTAGTGAGGTCAGATCCAATATACTCACTTATAGGAATAGGATCCGTCTCCATTTACTTGGCTCTCCTGCTTTATAATAGGAACAGGGTCCTTTTGCTGGGGTGCGGCCAGGACAAATGCTGCAAGGCACGACACTGCGATTATCTGAAAGACGGAGACACGAAGTGCGTGGCAGTTTATACGTCTTCGCAAAACATACATTTTTATGCACGTAATATTTGCCAAATATTTCTGAGGAAATCCATACTAACTAGCTGGCTTACCGAACCCGAAGGTTCACCACCGAATTAACCAAAGCCCTCCACCGGACCCTGTCCTGGGCCAACAAAATCCAGTCTCCTTCGACCCCTATCTCCCATAGATCGCGCCTGAGATTATCCTCCCATCTACGTCTAGGTCTCCCCAGCGGTCTCTTCCCCTCAGGCTTCCCAACCAATACTCGGTGCACACCTCTTGTCCTATCCATGCGTACCACATTCCCCGTCCATCTCATTCTTCTCGACTTAATCACCCTGACAATATTGGGGGAGCAGTACAGATTTTTAAGTTCGTCATTATGCAGTTTTCTCCATGCCCCATCATCTTCTCTCCTAGGCCAAAATAACCTTCTCAACACCCTGTTCTCAAACACCTGCAATCTGTGTTCCTCCCTCAGAGCGAGAGACCATGTTTCGCACCCATACAAAACAACAGGAAATCCATACATTTATATTTATTTATTTATTACAGCACCCCTAAGAATAAATGACCTATTCTTCTTTAGGCTTCAAGAAAATAACTTTGTCACGGAAATGGGGCCGGAATTGTGGGTTGGTCTCAGATAAATAACGTGTTTAGAATGAATTTTAAAATGCATTAATATCATAAGCATGAAGGCATATTTATTTGTGTAATCAACTCATCTTCCTCAATTTAAAAACACACTTCTTTTAATTAAACTGCCCGAATTCTTCATTTCGTTTTTCTGCATTTTTTGTTTTCATAGAATATCATAACGTTTTGGAAGACAGACGTTCTTGAACCTAAGAGGGACGAAGCAAGTAGACTCTTTACGAGATTACATGATCATGTCGTCCGTTGTCATATAATATTACTTGAATGAAATGTAAGAGGCTACTACGGGCTGGGCAGAAAATGAGAAATGCTTACATAATTTTGGAGGAGAATATATTTTGGAAATCTTAAAACTTTTGCATACCGTGTAGTGTATTAGAATATAAAATAAGAATACAAACAAACTATTAACACTATAAATGACACTAGTGTCATTTATAGTGTTAATAGTTTGTTTGTTTGCTTATTTTATATATTTTGGAAAACTTTTACTTAAAAAACCGAGAAATTAATAAGAGATTAACATTAATGTGGAGCTTCAGCAATTGGTTTGGTGACCGAAGTTGGGGTGATATGATTAAAAATATGTCCCGTAGCGTTCTTTATTATAAGCGGTTCTAGAATCAAAGACGTAAATTGTTGTAAATAAAAATACACGGTTTTATGAAGCGTGTCATGTGTCACAAATAAAATATCTATTTAATTGGGCCTTAGCATTATAATTTTTATCTACCGAAGCCGCGTTTATTCTCACCTATCAAGTAAGTCTAATAATATTATTAAAGTTCAATATTTTACAATTAGATTACAGTCTTTAAGGAGCCGTATATTATCTGTATTTTTAATACCTGTTGGCTTAAATTACTTTTGAAAATCTCACAGTTTATACTGTGTTTCGAACAAAATATATAATTGCACTCGAGTATCGAACAATAGTTCTGTTATAACCAATGCATAAATTAAATACAGTCTTAAAAGTTTTAAAGTAATAAATATATATATATATATAAATGTAACATACATAAACCTAACCTAAATAACTTTGACGAAATTTTATAAATTTCTTTTCTATTTGGTTGTTTCTGTGTTGATAAAATATATTCCTATATTTCCTATTTGGATTTTAAATGCCCATACCCTACATATATTATAAGTATTTATTATATGTATTCTAATTTTAAATAATCTGCAAAGTAAACACAATATTCGGTTTACCTTTTTTCCTGGAACAAAATGAATGCAGCAATTATTAAATTATTGCTCCCAAAAATGTAATTAGCTTCGTCGTCTTCCAGGAAACTCTTCAAGATCACTACATTCAACGTGTGGCAGTACTTTCGTGCCTAATTATACATTACATAATCAACTACCTGTTATTACACAGACTGGGACAGCGTTCATTTATCATTTTTAAATATACACCAGTCGACCACAATTTATTAAAATTTATTCAAGGCAATATGAATTTTAAGACAAGTGATTGCCATAATTGAGGAATATTACGACAAATTGACTTCTTAGAAATGACACCCGTCAGAAGACGTCCATCAAAATTGACGCACTCGATTCATAAAATTTTCCATTACGCGGAGTGACATCCGATGATGTGGGATTAATATATTGTTCTTGTTATTATTTTGTCATTGGTTCATTATTATAATTATTCTAATGATGAGACATGTTGAAGTTCAACGCCAAATGACTTAATTCGTAATCACTTTGCCTTTCTTTATCACCTTACCTACTATCTCCCGTATTTCTTTCCCACCCATTTAAACTTAAAAGCAACAGTGCAAAATATCAGTTGCTTACGTACTACGATCTTCCTGGATTTCATTATTTATATTAGACCTAAAACTAAAAGCTATATAATGGTAGCGACATTTGTAAGTTTTGCCATGTAGAATTATTACTGAGAAATTTTCAGCCTCTGTGAACTCGATCAAAAACGAGTCTAATCAAGGAAACATCACACTGTCTTCTACATAATACAGATAACTGTAATATCATATATCACATGAGTTCTTAACATATTATAGAATGAGAATCTTAATTGAAATCTAAATAAATTAGGCACATCTTAAATTTTTAAGCCACCTGAATTAAAGATACTTGATTAACATCATAATTTTATTGTAATGCTATTAATTTCCTCATTCTACTACGTCGCATTAATGCCACAATTACAGCTGTCTGCTTTACCGCTTTCCGTTCCTCCAGCTGTTACACTGAGGCCAAAAGACAAATTTTAATGTCTGCTTCCAAGCTTCTTCGTGATTATCATAATGCGATTTAGTCATAAATTTTTTGTGTATATTTTGTTTCATGATGCGTGTTGCAAGCCAAGTCCATGTTAAAAGTCTTTTGACACAAGTACCATATAAATACCTAACTAAAATTATGTCATGAACACCAAAGTTATCAGCAATTATTCTGACTGGAATGATTACACATTTGTTTCCAGCTGCGGTACAGCCTACCGTGTTTGATATTTCCGTGGTGAATAAGCACCTACAAACAACGATAACTCGCCGTTCCTACTAAACATTCATAATAATAATTTTAATTACCACAAATTATCCCTATTTCAAGTGATTTCTTTCTTACGTTCCATTTGGGGCATAACATAAAGTGTGTTTTATTTTTTTAAATTGTCACAGTGTCCGAGCTGTAAGGCGTGGGTTTAAACCGCAGGAACGCAGAAATTTGGATTTCGAAGTGCACTGGAAGCGTAGATGGATACATGGGTTTCATTTTGTGTTGTGCTGCTCCGTGAAAATGGAAGCCTCGCAACGGCTCAACTTCCCCGTTCAAGGAACCCTGACAACGGTCTAGAGTCTCAAAAGCTAAAAGTTTTCTAGCAGATTAAGGCTACCAAGAGCTTCAAACTTCTTGAAGACGAATTTTTATACGTAAATAAATATTCTATACTTTAATTGTTATTATACGTAAATTAGCCTAGTAAAACCAAACTCACAAAAGCACTTTTCCTTCTTCACAACAAGTAACAGCTAATATATTTTAAACTTCGATCATGCAGAAATTTCCTTGTACACAGGATTAAACGCTCACATACACATACATTCTTTCACTCATTTTCTTGTATGCACGTTACGTTAAACGATTAGTCGACCCATAGTAATTATTAATTAATTAATTAACGTGATGTCCATTACGGAATATTAAAAAAACTCAATAGATACTTCACTGCTTATTGGATCCGTTGTACAATTTGAGTTTTATCCAAGTTAACGCAGTGAAATTGCTTACGCAGAAGAACGCAAGATTCACTGTAGCACTGTTAAGATGAAGGTGTCCAGCACTTACCAGCTTCATCGTCTTGGTTAGTGTGTTTCTGGTAGCGAACTGTGTTGCAGATAGAAGGGTCGCTGTATTTATATATACACACAGCTTCACACAAAATGGTATTTCATCATTCAGATTTTCATAATGTACTCTTTAAGTGGGGGACAAGAGAATTTGGAAAGTGGGGGACCAGTCAATATATGTCCAATGTCTTTTGTAATTTTAGCACAGAACCTGCGCATTGCAGTAGTGGGGTGCAGGGGAGGAACCAACACATCTTTAATGCATGTACCAGAATAAAACATGATTTATTGCTGTTTAATGGGTAAACAGGAGGTGAAGGGAGCGAACTGAAGAAGAGTTTCTTCGTTGGAAGAAAAGTGGAAGTACAGCTTTGAACATAAGTGAATTAATGTCACTGCTGTCGTCCCACTGAAAGTTCGTCTTAGCCATACTGAAATAATTTGCTGTAGCGAAGTAATTTATATATTGACATTTAGAATCAAAGCTAACCTGTGGAATAAATCGCGAAAAAATTTAAAATAGATTTAAAAGACACAACATTAAATGCCCTTTAAAATAAAAAAATAATCATTACTGTTACTTTATCCAAGTTTTTTCCAAACATAAAAAATAAAACCCGTAAAATTCATAGCGTGTGGTAAGCCTATCTCTCAAAATCGAACTTAGAATTGACATCACTTAACCTAATTTTTGTCCAAACATGAAGTCTGTTATTCCTCGAACGTAAATACGCAAATATGGAACCATGATAAATTTAATAATTTTTTGCATTAGTGACGAGGTTTTCTTTCTCGAAATGAAATGAATGATTCTACTTTCTTCGATTGTACTACGTCTCTTTAACAGCTGTTACTGTATATAATGGCATGAGAGAAATACGTAGGTTGATGCTAAACAAAATATTTTTAATTTTTTTTTAAATTAATTGTCTTTGCTTTGAGACGAGCCAAGTACAGTGTCAGATGATAATCCAAACTTAAGACGGAGGTTGTGATAATGTTCTGCTTGGTCATGGTTATCCCGTACCTCTTGGGCTGGTGACCGAATCGAAGAACCCAGTGAGACAGTTGCTGCTGTGTTATTCCATCTACCTCACTTGAAATCATCTCCGATCGAACTCTGTTTTCAGCTTGTAGACCCCGAGGTATGGTAAGGCCCTATTTTAAAGTACTAGACCTATCATAGCACTCCCGTACAAGAATTCGAGAAAAGTACGAGGTCCCACTTACTATAGCCACTCGGCAGATGGGATTCGAAATCAGAGCTTACATGAACGCCAGACCGGTCTTTTTCGTATTTTTTTAGTAACGGCCCAAGTGGAAGGAAATATTGTAAAAGACAAGTCTCATTCAAGCCCATTGAGCTTATCTAAAACTTTTCATATATGTTGTCTAATGAATGAAACACAAACAGACAATTTGTTACGTTTCGCTACGTATGACCACAGTGCTGACTTTCTGCAATATATCAACACGCATTTACTTCTGTAGTCCAATATCTTAAGGAAGAGTAAACATTTCAAGTAGTTTGTAGTGCGCAGTTTCTAAATCCGTTACGCAAATTTACATACTCATTACTCATCCCCTTTATGTTTCTTCAGTACGACAACAGCAGAAGGAGCCAGGAGTGGTTTAATTCATGGCGTGATGTATCCAGAAACATCCGGAAAATAAAGATTTTTTTTGTCCAGCATGCCAAACTTAAATAGGTTTGCAAAAATTATGTCTCATTTAAAGGCTTATGGGTACATGAGTAGGTATTTAAAAATTAATACATGGCAGATTCCGTAAATTTTAAGCCCCATTTATATGAATACATTTCACAGGTACATGAAAATGGCGGGATTTCTAAATTTTATTGAGTGTTTATGGTTCTTAGCTACGATATTAATGACATGATAATTGAATTTAAGTATTCATGCTGTCATTAACTACGTTTTAAGTTCAGATCTAAAAATTCTTGACGATGGTGAAGAGTCATTTGAATAAAAAATTTTCTGGATATTATCCATGCTGTCATTAACTACGTTTTAAGTTCAGATCTAAAAATTCTTGACGATGGTGAAGAGTCATTTGAATAAAAAATTTTCTGGATATTATCCATCGTCTAGTAAAATATAAAACGTATTTTACTAGACGATTGATAATATCCAGGAAAATTTTTATTCAAACGACGTTTTAAGTTATTCCGCGTTTGCTGTTTTCGTTTATTTTTTTGGAAATAAGATTAAACAAGTCTGCAACTCTCTATAGGTATATAATGTATTCGGGAATTCAGTTTTCTCTTTTATGTTGAATAACTGTAACCTCTATATACCCATCCATGTTTTGTTTACAGTTGTCACAGATGTGTGTCGGCTTTCATATTATTCTGAATACAGGAAAGATCTATATAAATACAACAATTAAAACAATAACATAAGTAAGTAACTAAGAATCTGAAGCAGGTATTCTAAACCCTGAGTCGGCAGATCGCATTAGCCCTTCTAATATATTTTATACGATTGGAATACATTTCTTGTAAAAATAATATATCGTTCTGTATGATAAGAAATAGCTGTCTCATGAGAAAACCTGTTTTGTTAATGGTATAAGTATCTGTCAGTACATATCACTGCGAATAACGTCAAACTAAGGCCTGTCTTACTAATAAATACTCCAAGTGGTGCATACAAATCGCAAAGAAATCTTATATTGAAAGATTTCTTAACTCCAAAGTAAATTCAAATGTCTCACTGAATGATGACTGATTTTGTTGAAGAAATGTTGAATAATATGTGAACCTATTAGTGACAATAAATTGATATAGTTCGTAATAATTTGCCTTGAAATTTGAATTTTAGTTAACTTAAAATCTTGCGTCCCGCTAATCTTTAAGCAGGGATAAATGTGGCCGTAAGTGTAGAATATGAGAAGAATCCTTTTATGTCTTTAAGCAGGGATAAATGTGGCCGTGGGTGTAGAATATGAGAAGAATCCTTTTATTATGCCAGCAGATATTTTACTGATTGAACATTGAACCCGGAAGTGCAAATAATACAAATATGTTTCAGGAGACCTTCTATTTCCATGTTTTAGGTTCGCTAAATTCCCAATAATAAGAATCCTGAAGTTCTTATCTGTATAAATATGTTGTCACGTACATTCATATCATAGACCACTGTTGTACTTAGTTATTTTGCATGTTGATGATCATGCAACTTATTTTAGGTTTACTACGTCACTGTAATCACAAGAGAAACAAGATAAAAAATACGTGCATGGAGAATCTCACTGCATTTGGAAAGGATGTCAGTTGGGTTGAACAAATAATGATTATCTCCAAATCCACAAAACGTCCTAAATTCTGTTACATTCTTAGAATATCAAGAAAGGTTAAAGTGTTATAGTGACTGTGATGAAATTTAAATATGGTATCGTAATTTAGCTTCGGGGTAAATGAACCTTGTTTCATACCTTGTTATATAAGTATACTTTACATAAACATCTTCAGTCAAGTATTCGAATAGTTTCAGAGGTTAAGGTCGAATGCTACTAAAGCGTCTATTGAAAATGATCCTCTCTAATTGCTTTATTAATTCTTTACACGTGTTATATTTCAGTTAAATGAACACGCATAAGTTGATAAACGTAATTTGTTTATCTGTTGATTCTTCAGAGATAGACCACATGAAACTGCAATTCAATTTCTTGTTCTTATGTGAATAATTCAACACTTTGAGGATAACGACAAGTTGATCTAGCCTAGACGAACTATTTACAAGTGAGTGGGGAAAATTGCACAAGAAATAAGTGTGTTATGTTCTCTCTTCATGTAACATTTACCATTTCTTACTTGCTCTATTCTTCATTTTTAATTACGGATGTAGAATTTTCAGTTTAAATTAATATACCATACTTTCTGTTTACCATTTTAAATAATACGCCCTTAACTTCAAAGAATAACCCAGGACAAAGCTGTCGTCTGTTGTAATATTATTACAGCGATTTCATAGAGAATTTCACGTACTGTGAATGGATAAAAATATAATATAGACAAATAGGTAATATGGGTCATAGATTATTAATACTGGGTCTGGACAGTGCCCAGTATCGGGATGATTTAACAATTTTCGATCCATTTTTTTTCATTGACGAAAATTTGTTTAACAGTTGAATTATTTCTTACTTCTTGAGGAATAAAGCATAAAATAACAGACTTGATTCTTTTTAAGAGTGCTGCAATAATCGAAACACATTATTAGACAGGTATCTTTAAATAATTTCAAGTTTTCTGTTTGCAAATAAAAAACTTTTCTGAAATTGTTGTATTCGACGGTTGGCCATGAAACATATGACAGGCCTTTAAAAACGGTGACTCCGCAATCACGTTTACAAAAAAGTAGTCATAAACATAACTGTAAATTCTTCGTCTTCATGATATTTGCACTTTTGCCAAATGTCTTTCGGTGATAAACACATTTATTAATTACAGATTTCCGTTGAACATGGTACAGCACCATTAATTACAGGAAAGCTGGTCTGTTTATCTCTTTTGACACAAATTTTGTAACTTTTCTCCCATAGTGCATGTGGCCTATTGCATATTTCAATATCATATATGTCACATCATACATTCTTTCAGGTTTTCCGTTCAAACAGAAACATCAAACGTAATACAAATTTAGTATTTATACTAAGAGGCTGTACCCTGTTCTCCTCGGTCCTCCATTTCTTTTACCTTCCATTATTCTCCTCCTTGTACTTCCCCTAATTCTATGGAATTAGGGACGAAGAACAGCGATAATAAACTGTTCTTATTTTTTTATCATTAAGTGCTACGGAACTAGGGACGAAGAACAGCGATAATAAACAGTTCTTATTTTTTTATCATTAAGTGCTAACCCACCTTCGTGTTTACGCACTTTATATTTCACACCCATTAATAAAATACTTGCATTTTAATAAACAACATTGCGTCAGACAATTGTTTCAAACAACTCAACACATTTAATTAGGCAAACCTAGCCCCAATATTCGTCTCATGTCGTCATAATTGCTTCAGATGAAGTAAATATTAAGGAAAATAGGAATGAAAAATTAATAGATATTAGCCTATTCTTGTGGCAGAATCTGTATTATAAA